TCTAGTCAAATTGAATTTTAAAAAGTACCTACAGGAGCCTGTGAAGTAGCAAAAAATGTTTCACCGAAGGACCTCCGAGCCCACATTCGAAATGATTTGTTGAAAAAAATAAAAAATTCCTTCTTCAACATTGAGTATGATGTTTGAGAAGATACTCTTCAAGAATCTTTAACAGATATAAGGCTGAAAATCTTCCTATTCATCAAAATATCAACCACAACAGGGGAGCTTTCCATCTTGATTATCATCAATATTGTGGACATGACTCTTGTTCATTATGAAATGTGTATGTTACTGCTTCAAATTAATGAAGCCTAGACCAGTAAAACCAATTAATTGTCCTGGGTCTTTTGCACAAATTTCAGCCAGTAAGATTTTCTTACATTTTCTTTTTCATTTTAGAAATCTCAAAATCAAGTTTAATATTTATGTTCATTCGAAAATAGCAACTGTAACATGTGAAAGCACATATATACCACATATCTAAGCACCACAAAATTCAACATTTAGCAGAATGTAAAGCTACAAAGAGATACCTGGAGCAACATTTATTATCTGATAAGTAATACCATCTGGCACAAGATTTTCATCAAATCTGTAAGGGCCTAATCCGTTAAACAGAACGCCATCAGGATTTCCAAGGCTAGTTCCACTTTCAATATTTTTTTCTAAGTTCCTATTACCCCATAAACAATGGTTACTATGTCAGAGGCACAAAGACTATATTTTAAAGCAGGAATATAAGAATTGAGAAATACATCATCTCTTACAAGTTCCAACCTTATGACTCTTTATGTACCAGTCGCTAATAAAGAGGGTAATATCTTCATCCGGCATTCCAAAAGGTACAGGAATGACATCTCTGTTGTTAACCATGATTCCTCCGTATCCACCCGCAGCTCTCTGGAAGCCAAGGGAAGAGAAGTAAAAGAAGCTGCCTATCTGATCTTTGACCTGAAACTGATATGTCCAATTCCAACCAGCAGGAATGGGACAATTTGTGCCTGTAACACCATCTTGGCACGAATTTTTTCTATGTTGAATGCCATTCTTGCACTTCATTAGCACAATTAAAACACAATCATCATATATCATATTTGGATCAAGATTCAGTGATATACTATGTGAGAAGAAATGGTTCATTGAGATTATTTTTGACATTGACAACGACATTCCAATTTGTGGTGACATTCAGAATGGTGCCGGGAAATAGTCCTTCTACACCAATCACCTGAAATATAATGTTTAGGTGTCAACTGTAGGTATTTCGTTGGTGTTGTACAAAATTGAAGAGGAGATATAACAAATAAACATGTTCAAAAGTGAATTTTTCTTTTAAGAAAGACTAATGAGTGAAAAGAGAAGGGAAAAGATCATTCCAGTTATGCTCTATTAGACTGTTCCAATTCCTATAGTTATGGAGTCCTATAAGGCGTGACAATAAAAGAAAGTAGTAAAAGGTAGAAAACACCCCCAAAAATCACAATTATGGAGATATCAAAGAAAACTAATGACAACAAAAAAACCAAATTGGAAAACAGGTTTACAGTACTATAAACCAGGAGCAATTCATGTAGTACCTAGAGATCATTCACATTAACTGGCGTGTTTTTATTAAAAGCTCTGTTATTAATAGGGCAACAACAACCTTTTTTGCAGCCTCAGTTGCCAAAGGAAAGTGATTTCCCTGAAAGTTTGACCTCCTCTGAGCAAGTGTATCCTATCAGGAGA